AGAAAGTAATCGAAGAGGAGGGCAATGTCCAACATATATACCTATCAGTGGCGCCAGGTACTGGAAGGTTGGAGAGCATACATGTGTGAAGCCTCCCCCCCATATGCATTGGCAAGGAGAGGAGAGGATTGCAACTACATATACAAAGTTGGAGAAGATAAAAGGCATGTCTTTAAATAAACCCAAAGATTGCATCAAAATAAAGATATACTATTCCACGGGGACGACACTTGGACCCAAACGGCATCCCACATGCCGGATACAACACCCTACAGTTTGACGTGGAACTCATCTTTTAGACAAAGCTCGTGCTGCGATAGGACTGTCAAGCCGCTCTTTGCTCTTCATGAATTGTTTGTGGTTCCGGTGACTCTTTCTCATTCGCAAGGTGTGACGCGTTGATGGAGGGAATTCATCATAATTCACAATAACGGGGAGGACTGACTGGAGTGACGGATGTTCATGTTGGTACAGTGCTCTTCTTGATCTTAACGTGGTGCTAATGAACATGGTTAATGGGTGACAATGTTTGTGCAAATTTGCAATGAGAAATGTCGAGAGTTGGGCAAATGATGAACACTGCCTCCTCAAGCATGTGGCGGACCCGCTTTCGTTGCTTGGTCACTTGGTGAATGTCGTAAGGCTGTAAGTTGAATACTGAAGAATTAGAATTATGCATAGAACATTTACAAAGTGCGTTTACGGATGCACATGACACGAAGGCTGTTCCAATTCAGCATAGCGCATAAATTCCATTACTTGGCACTGTCAACTAAAGCTCAAGACTACTAAAGAACTTGCATACTGCCACCGACAACAAACCTCGTATGGTTATCAATGTCTATCGTTCACTGCAAATAATTAAACACCTACAACAAAGACGCAAACTACTGCGAAAACAAGGAATTGAAAGGTGGCATACCTGATTGTTTTTAATGGTCAAGTAGTGACCAGTGCGCTCCAAATGCGCCACCTGCATAAAGGGTACACCTGCACATGGTAGCCTTGTTGCTTCCCATGATCGCATCGCAGAATCTCGTATTGGTGCATTGGCGGTGTGAGAGAAAGCGTGTATCATTGTATTGAATGATTGATAACCTCAAGAGAAGGAGCCGTCGCTTACAATGAGTTAATAGTTATTGTCTAGATTTCTCTAAATTTTCAGGAGTGTGAAGCCGGTGTTGTGCTCCATGGGATGCTAGGGCATAGATCATTTATGCCATAGTCTTGAGTTTTTCAACAAGAAGGAAAAGTGGTTTTAGAGTTTTTGGGAGGGTGCGTTTTCGATACTCAACCTCAATTGTGCTTAATAGGATCAATATCACAAATTCAAGCTCCTTCGTTTCTATAAGTGCAACGTGTTTGCAAGGCTGCTGGGTATTGTATGCCGAAGGATACCTACTTCTACTGGAAGTAGCTTCTTCTTCATAATCTGCATATGAGTTGGACTTTGTGCACAGAAAAGTTTGAGATGTCATGACTTATTCTTTTTTCACATTTCAGTTGTCAATATAGGAAATAGGCTCCACAGTTGAGTTTGTTAGCCGTGGCAATCATCGTGTAGAGAGCAGTCGGTGAAATATTCCTCTCGTCAAGTTTGGTCACCACTCTCGTCCTTATTTTACTTAACTGAAAAGCACATCGTGCCCCTGCAATCTGCAGCTTGACGTTTACACGTCTACATTCGACCATTCTTCAAGTCTTACCGGTGCATAACGTGACTGAACCAAAAATAAATTCAATTTGCAACGGTCCTAGAGATTTATTTTATGTGCAAGGTCTACCTATTGTTGAGTGGAGCGCATTTGTTGAAGCAAGTTACATCTCGTTTAGAGTTTGTGAGAATTTGATAGTGGATATGGCCTGCTCAAAAGATCACTGATTTTACTTTTCTAGTTCATGCGCATCCTATGCTTTTTGGCCTTAATCTTGTGCTCTTTACTCCGCCATTTTTCCCCATTTGGAAGTTCTTCTCTCCCTTGTTAATATCCACTGCTATGTTCGTGATTTTGCTCTTCACCATGGGACAGAAAGGCATCGCCAACACTCAAGCTGATGGAGAGTCGTGAGAGGAAACGAGTGAATAAGAAACATGAGAGAATTATGTTTGGAAGCGAATGAAAGCCGATTGATCTGGAAAGACTGGGTTCAGCGAATCGAAAAATCAAGTTCATGATGGATGCACAGGAGTAATCAATGGAAGGGCACCTTCTCAAATAACACCATTTCTGTTTTGAAAGAAGCAACTTGGGTAAAGCGCGGAGACTTCAATCCTTACGAGCAGGAAGCCGCATCCACTAAGGAGGTGGAATGTTCATCTTTGCGCTTGCTTGATAAGAACATTAGTAGCAAATTTGTACCGACTATGATGACTCCTTTCGAGCTTTTTAGGGTTAATTCTGGTTTACATGAAGTTGCAGGTCGAGTTTCTGAGGATTTAGGTGATGATGCCCTAGATCTGGAAGATGTGGAAGAGTCTAAGTCTGTGGCAGTTCCTTCTCGTCCAACCGATGATCTATTGAAACTCTCTGCCAGCCGTTGAACCGTACGCTAGCCTATCAACAATCTACCCAAAAGAGTGCTGTCGGAGACTTCGGAAGTTGACAGCCCTGCAACGGACGTCAACGACTCTCCTGCCATCGGCAAGTATAAAAAGTCCATGTTCTTGAATGTGAGAAAGGACTCTGTGAGCGCGAATACTTCAGACTCTGATACTCCTATTGAGGAGGAAGTGAGATTGTCTGGAAAGTTAGATTATTTGGGAAGCTTGGGAGATTTTATGGATGAGTCAGCAGACGCGGAGAAGGTCGAAAAGAGATCCCAAGAATTAGCAGTCTTGGAACCTACGACTAGCGAACAAGTTTAGGATGTGAAGAACCACATTCAGAATTTCGTTACGGACAAGCAAGCAGAGGAGAAAATTTCACCAAAACACAACAGCCTTCTAGAAAAACCTCTGCAAAACTCTGACCACTCATCAGAAACAGACTGCAGCTCTCTTTCCATGTAGGGCAATGGTACTAAACTCTAAAAAACCTTACTGACTGCAATCCAAGGACAAATATGAAGATCTACCTTGCCAGCGAATCTGTGAGGGCGAAAGTGCATCATCCTATCAAGGTCAACATCTTCAAGTACGGAAAAACAAAAAATGACATCACCAACACGAGACGCTTCGGAGGATTGAAACGGCTTGTAATTAATGACTGCAGGCAGTTTTCTAGTCTGATAATAGCACTGAAGACAGAATCCATTAAATGTGAAGCAAACCCCAATGAAAAATGACAATACCAGAGTATGTGTATGTATGATTTTATATATATATATATATATATATATACAAAAGTATGATTCACTGGCATTGCTACATCTAGGTCGGTGAATGGACCTACCTTGTTAATCCAGCGCACAACCGTCAAGTCCGAATAGCCCATGACTGAACTCTATCGACCGACAAGCTTGGGAGATTCTCTCCCTCGCTCGCTGGCTGAGAGATCGCACGCGGGTACGATACGATGGGATCGCCTCCTCCGGGCTGCAGCTACGATCTTGACGTGTCAATGAGGAACTTCAATGTCATTAGCTGGGAAGTGTCGACAACACAGGTAGGTAGTTACAGCGGCCACAGAGATCGAAATTGCTGGAAGGTCTGAAGCAGATTGGTTCCTGCTGTACCCTAACACTTTGAATGAACCTGTGGTCTTCCCAATGCTGGTCTCATCTCTGGACAGCATCGTGGCTGAACCCAGCTCCTCTCATCGCATCAGAAACTGCCGCAAAGTGTCAATCCGAAACGTAGAGGTTCTTTTCTATCAATGCGACGGATATTCCACAGTTGTTTCAAAGAAAAGAAAGAAAAGAAACGCAGAGATACATGAGAGACTAAAGTTTGTCAAAGATCACCTTCACTGGTTTACACTAATTTCCGGATGAACGGTTGTGCTCGACTTGGGGGTCCACAGGGCAACAACCCTTAGGAGCGACTTTGGTTGGAGCGGAAAAATATCGTTGGTCTTTTGCTGAATGTAGGGAGATCCGCAGTGGTGCAACTCTGTCAATGTTGGCTTAGATGTTCGACGTTAGTTCATATCTAACTGCACAACTCAATGAGACGTTGATTCTTAGCCGCACATCGCATCGCACTGATAATTTCAACTAGCGTGTCTGAAATTTTCGCCATCGAGAATGGGTTGTAACCTTCGAATAGAACACGATGCTCCAAAATGAAGTTTAGAGAAGTTAAGTTCCGAAACAGAATTCCAGAAAGGCGGCATTGTCATGTGAATCTAATTGGCACCGGGAAAGCCATGTCTCGCAAACTTGGAAGACGAGGGATGAATAACATGGGCGTAACGGAAATGCTTCTGCATGGTGTCATTGTAGTGAATGACTTGGCATTGTGCAGAATGGTAAGGGAAAGCCAGTTTGCGATAGTCCATGCTGCCTCTCTGACGTGGTCTGAGCAACTTTAACAATATTCTTGGATTAATTCCACTTGATGGATCAAAACACTGGTGTCAGAAATACTGCAGGTCTCGGTCAGTCACTTTCCAGTGACAGAGGCCCGTCAATTTGCACTGTAATCAACTGAGTGCAGAACAGAATGAACTGCATCAGTGGAGCAATCTCCCGATCTTTCATTCTAGCCGTTACAGCTCATTCCAATTTGCAGTGGTTAGAAATCTTAGGGGGTACTTATGAGTCGGAGAGAAGGCATTAGATCACAACTTTCATGCTTTGAGAATAGTTGGCTTTATGTTTAGGAGACGGACAGTAATCATGATAGATGACTTAGAATGCACTTTTTTTATTTTTTATGTTTCTACATGGTAAGATTAATGTTCTCCCTGAAATTTATATTTGACCCAAGAATGTGGCATTTTAAAAAATAATTCAAGAAATCATGGGATCCTTATAAGCCGTTCGGACCATGGCCTTTACAGTTGACTTCACTGTATAAAAAGGCCCCTTTGAGTTTCTAAGTTCGATCACCACTTAGCTGTTGGACTCCCTTACGTCTCAGAACGGTGAGGGCCGAGACTCCCACGGCCATGATGTCAATGGACGTGGTTCCCGTCGCTGAGAAGACGATAATCACATCGCCCAATTTTGCTGCCAAGCGGCTGGGAGAGTACACAAGGGACAAGCTAGAAACGAATCAGGGAATGCTAAAGCTGCGCCAGCTCTTTGCGGAGCAGAAACGCTACTTGGACTATTTCTTTGACCACATCGATTACAGCCAACTGCAGAACTTCACGCAGCTGCTGCTGGAGTGTAAGGGCGTGATCTTCTTCTCGGGGATAGGCAAGAGCGGCTTCATCGCGCAGAAGATCTGCCAAACGTTGGTGTCCACGGGTACAAAATCGGTCTTCCTTTCACCCACCAACGCACTACACGGCGATATTGGCATCGTGGGGCCCAAGGACATCGTCGTGGTATTCTCCAAGAGCGGTGCTACCGAGGAGCTCCTCAAGCTGGTCCCGTGTGTCCGTGCGAAGGGCGCGTACATCGTTGGTGTGTCTTCCCACAACGAAAGCATGGTCGCAGAGTTCTGCGACATGCATGTATACCTACCCCTGGAGCGCGAGCTTTGCCCTTTCGACCTGGCACCAGTTACCTCCACTGCAATTCAAATGCTCTTCGGTGACACTGTCGCGATTGCTCTGATGCAGGCCAAGAATCTGACGCGCGAAGAGTATGCTATGAACCACCCTGCTGGTCGCATCGGCAAGCGCCTCACCCTCAGGGTACAGCAACCCAAACCTCTCTGGGTTTTGCTACCCTTGGCTTGGAGCTACCGACGCAACTTGGATGTTAACGGTCAGATGCTGAGGCCGACGCGGTGGTTTGATGGAATCCTTGTGTCGATGGCTGCGCAGGTGCAAGACGTAATGAAGAAGGGCGCCGACTTGCCGATCTGCAGAGAGAGCGACCTAATGATAGAGCAGCTGGTGGAGCTCAGTGCCAGGGGCTGCGGGTGCCTCCTGGTCGTCGACTCTGCGAAGCGTCTCGTTGGAACTTTCACCGACGGCGACCTCCGCCGCTCCCTGCACCCATTCGCCGAGACCATCTTTAAGGTGACAGTTCGGGAGCTGTGCAACAGGTAAACGCACCCACTCCCCACACCTCCGCAACTCCGCCCGACGACGAGAGCTGCTGTGGATGTGTGTTTTGCTATCGCCAACGGTTGTGTACTTGGATTGGACTGGATTGCAGGTCGCCGAGGACGATTCTGGTGGACGCCATGGCGAGCGAGGCCATGACGAGGATGGAGCAGCAGCCAGTGGTGGAGTTCCTGCCCATTGTCAACCATGCCAACATCCTGGTGGGATTGGTCACTCTCCGTGGCCTCGTCGCAGCAGGATTGTAGCGATGGAAGCAAAGCAGGAGGAGAAGAAGCCTGCGTTGATGATCTCTGTTGTTTTCCTTTCATTCAAAGTATACTTTCAGAGTATATTGTGAGGATTTTTGTTGAAGAATTCTAATGCACGGCATGTAGGTCAAATTCATGTGCAACATTTCGTAAATAAGTTCCAGCAAAGTAACATGTGAAAGTTTATGCACATTGATGATTTATTTATTTAAACAAATTCTACTCATGTTATACTTGTAATATTCATGTGCTTTTATGTATGTGTATTACTATCTATATACACATGAAAATTTTATAGAAAATTAAGGACCCACACAACTAGTATGAGGCATTGATCTTTCTTTTGAAAGAAAAAAAGGTGGTACATTACAAGTGTTCGCCAATCATCACATATTTAACAAGATTGCCATCAAGAATAATCCCTATCCACACCAATGTGGAAACTGACAATCCATGGTGATTAACAACGCAATATCTATTCACGTTTGGATGACTTGGCGAGACTAGATCTAGATGCTCTTCTGGAAACTCACACTTCATTCATCCTACAAATGTGGCTGCAAATTTTGCCATTAGAAAATTCGTCATGGTCATGCCACCACACGCACCGACAGCGTCACCACATTCTAAGAGTTACGTCACCATCTGACGCTTTTTCCCGTTCGGTAGGAATGCGTTTTCAGCCACGTGACAAGAGTTTGGCTCAACCGATGCCTCAGTAAGAATATGAGTGGCCAGCATTGATTTCTATGCAAGGCGTGGCAACTGGAGCACAAATTGCGTGAGCCTCCATAGACGAAGCTCCGGCCGAGCTACTGAGCGAGAGAGCGAGGGACTGGGTGAGGCTTCGAAGCTCGGGGGAATTGGATGTGAGAACGAGGTGGAGAAAGCGAGCAAGAGAGATTTCTTGGTGGTGCAACCAGAAGCGAGATCGAAGTGAGAGACCAACCTGAATTGGAGAAATGGGGGAAGGGTCGCCGTTCAAGGATACAGTGCTCAAAGGTAAGGTGGCACTGATCACAGGCGGAGGATCCGGGATAGGGTTAGAAATCTCCACCCAGTTCGGACTCCATGGCGCCAGTGTGGCGATCATGGGCCGGCGGAGACATGTACTTGACGAAGCTGTAGCGTCGCTCCAGAGTCTCGGCATTCAGGTATGAATGTGTGCTTTCTTTCAATGAAGTGAGTTAATTTTTATGTTTTTTGTCCAGTTGTTTTAGTGGTTTGCATCATGCGCGATGCTTGTGTGAGCAGGCCATGGCCTTGGAGGGAGATGTGCGCAAGAAGGAAGATGCTCGCCGGGTTGTCGAGACGGTAGTGAATGCAATGGGCAGACTTGATATTCTCGTGAATGGCGCCGCTGGCAATTTTCTTGTTGCTCCTGAGGACCTTTCTCCCAATGGCTTCAAGACGGGTATGGCTGTTTGGTTGAAGGGTATGCCTTGGAGTGAAATACAGGAAATTGGTCTCGGCCGCTCTGATTTTAGCTCATTTCAATTTTATTCTTTTGGGTGAGCACTGAGTGGAGACCTTATTTTAGTGACAATCTGCGCAGTTATGGACATCGACACGCTTGGAACTTTCACGATGTGCCATGCTGCCGTGGAATACCTGAAGAAGGGAGGCAAAGGAAAGGACCCTGCCGAAATCGGTGGACTTATCATCAGCATAAGTGCCCTTCTGCATTACGGAGCAAATTGGTATCAAATCCATGTTGCCGCTGCGAAGGTGTATCTCTTGCTTCACTTTCTGAAGTTTTTGCCCTCTTTGGTCTGCTTTTGTGTAATTTAATCCTGGTGGACTTCAGCTATCAGCATATTCACACTTGGGTTGTCCTAACTGTGAAGTTCGAGTTAGTCACTCGCACGAAATGGCTGGATGTTGCTGATCATTTAGATTTTATATATGTATATATTCCTGAAGCTGTTTTTTAAACAAATGCGATGCAGGCAGCAGTCGATAGTCTTACGAGAAGCTTAGCTTTGGAGTGGGGTACAGATTATAACATCCGGTGCAATGCTATTGCTCCAGGTCCAATAGCTGACACTCCAGGCATGGATAAACTAAATCCAAAAGAATCCGAACTTTCAGCTGAACAATTGGGAATCCCCCTTCGAAGAGTTGGCGAAAAGTGGGACATTGCCATGTCTGCTGTTTATCTTGCAGCTGAGACAGGTAAAATTTTGTTATGAAAGATGTCAACAGTTTACGAGACCTCCACCATTCCTCATCTTCTGTCGGTTTCATTGATGCAATTTTTACTCGAGACATCTTGCTTGACACTTATGACCCCTCGTTTGATTAAGAGATGGGAGAAAATGAATATTCTCCTGCGCAAAATATTGTTAGTCCAGTTCACAAAAACATCTTCGGTTTGAACTACTAGATTGAATTCCCCATCCATGCTCGTGCTTATCTAACGCTCATCTTTTCGAAGCAGGCCATTGTGAGCCTACTCCAACACTGATGGTCTGAATATTTTAGCGGTGTGTATGGCCAGGTAAATACGTGAATGGCCATGTCCTGGTGGTAGATGGTGGCTCATGGTTGGCCAAACCTCGCCCCATTTCCAAAGGGCAATTGCGCCAATTTGGTCGTGCAATTGAACAGAGATCGAGGACAACAAAGCTGCCGAGCAGCAAGCTGTAAGGTTTTTGTTTTATTTCTTCTTCAGCTTTCCTACTTCTTAGCTTCTGATGCGAAGTGGCCCAAGTCAGTTCAAGCTTCTGGAGATTAGCGAAATATAAGAACACATACAATCGCAGATCCTGTTCATCAGCCTCATGTTATCCATGAAAAGATATATTTTACTTATATTCTTTATTTTAGTTTTTTTTTAGAGATGGAGCTTTTTGTTGAATAGGATAAGATCACAGCATAATGCAATGAACTAAAAGATTCTATTTCTATGAAATTAGGGCAATCTCACTGAAAAATTTAGCCATATATAGAAGAAATATGACATTATGTGTTCTATTGATATAATACAAGTGCATGAATTACATGTTGAAAATCCGCATTCTCTACACTTCATCCAAAACAGAATTCAAAAAATGCAAGAATAAGCAGTCGGCAGAAGATGAATTTGCACAAAATCTACACTTACATTTATAGAATACTTATTCTCAGTCCATTGTTTTCTCACAATCTGAATGCTACAGAATTTCACAAACAATGAACGGCTTAACACAAGTAAAATGAGGAAGATGTCCATGTCTTCTCAAGGCACACTGAGCAATCCATCAACAGAGAAACCAGTAAGAGAAGTGCAAAGCATGAGTAGTTAATGGAAATATAGACGATCAAGATGATCAAGAAGATCAAAAAGCGAATAAAATGCAGCAACTCGGAAATCAATCACCGACCACGACCAGCAGTCGTTATGTACCTACCTTTCTCTAAATCATAGATGGTTTTTAGCTGTGGCCTTCGCCATCTTGCTACAAACCACAACAACACACCACAGAAAGCTAATAGCCCCAGAAATAAGACCAGGTTACCGAAAAGCTCCCCATTCTTAACTACAGGTGAGGAAAACACAAAATTTTCCTCTAAAAGTTTGGATGTGAAGAATCCGAGGCCGAACTGCACTGGCACACTGTTGACTGCATCGGTAAACATCACCCTGTGAAAGAGAATTCATACAGCAAATGAGGTCAGAGTCTCCAGATCCAAGTGAAAAAATGCACTTAAGCTGTTCAAATTAACTGATTAATTCCTCACAAGTGCATGATTAGAAGAGAGGAATTTACTTGTTATCGGAGAGTGGAAGACCTAAACTGTCGTGTAAAAATGCCACGATATAGGCAGCTGAGAAGCAAGGCTTCTGCACAGCCTTGTACTCTGGGTAGGGGTCTTTGGAAACACCTACACCCCACTCCTGGTTACAGTATTTCTCCCCAGCAGATACAAGGTCTGCTATTGTTGCCGTAGCAGGCAAGCTAAAATACTGTGGTCAAAGTAGGCCAATAAACCATCTCAATGAGTTAATAATTCAGTAGAATAAAGAACTGATCGAGGCATTCGTAAGCACCCAGATTAAAAAAAAGAAAAGAAAGGTACGGAAATAAATATTACCTTTGATGTCTGGTAAAATTTCCTAGTCGCTATAAAATTCCCACGAAACTCAGGAACAAGAGTGATTCCTACAACAGCCAAAAGCAAAGCAACCATGAGCATAAAATAATCCTTAAAAGGAAAAGAATAACCTAAGCGTTCATGAACTGGTTCGCATAAAGAACTCTGAGCTGATTAAATGATACGTCATCTCAAAAGTCTAAAAAGGCAACAGAATAATTGATTGACAAAAGAAGAAATGCCATATGGCTTACGGCTGCAACAAATACGCATACCTTGCCCCATTTGGAGCAGCCTAAGTGACTCAGCTCGGCAAGCAGTGAAGTTGCCAGTAGCCAGAACAGGACGAACTTTTATTTCGGTAGCAATGCCCTCTGTAGTGCCTTCGGTACCGGTGCGTTCTGCAGCCACAGATGCCTCGGTCCGATTATGCTTCGGTATTACGTATCCTCGTGGAGTGCATGTGTCACCCACATCCCCACTAACGTTTCTTGATTGCATGAGATTCAGCAAGTCCTCTGATGCCGCTTCCTAAACATTCAAAGCCAAGGAACATCGTTGAGAGATCTGTTTTGAACTATCAAACTAACAGGATCCATGACTTAAGATGAATTCACAAATATTCCTTCGCAACCTCGTTCTAGAATATTTAGGATAGTTTGCTATACAATGGGAACGCCAGAAATCCCTGTCGTCCTATTTTGAAGCCAGGGAGGCAAGGTTGGAAAGAGCGAATGCCCGTGAAAAAACCATAACATTCGTTGGGAGAAGATAGAACCCCAACCAGGCCCAGTTTCGCAAAGCCATGAGAATAAAGGTAATGCGTTGTCCCCTGGAGCTCAATCTTGTAAAGGTCCGTAGGAAGGGGTACTACGTTCGAAACAAAAGTCACCTGCACACCAAATGCGAAGACTAACATTACACTTTTATCCTGTCCCTCACTTGAATAATTTGCGAAAAAAGAAAAAGAAAACAGCTTATAATTTGTGTGTCACTAGCGTGGTCACCCAATCCAAGGAGGAGTCAGGACAACGTTGAAGGGAGGTGAGCGTAGTGAAAGACCTGTGCTGATTGATCGCCTAAAGTGAGGACACCAATTGTGTCTGAGGGGTCGTTTTGTAGCATGCCATGAGCATAATTAGCTGCCACCCATTCGTACACTCCTTCATCTCTGCCTGCCACACAAGGTCTTCTATCAACTTCTACTACAAGCCAAGTGCAGAACTCTAAAATATCCGACAGCAAAGGTTCAATAATATTACCCATGAATTGTAACAAGAATGTGGGCACAGGAAGTGTAACTCACCATCGATCACTGTAGCCCAATCATCACGAAATTGAAAATCCGATCCATGAATAATTTTTCGACACTCCTCAAGTAGCTTCGGCAACTTCCGTATCCATCCACTGGGTCCTTCCAATCCTCCGCTACCGAGAATATAAACTCTGGTTCGGGATCTTTCCCCCTGTGGTATGTACCGCCTCGCATACTCAAGATGATCAAAGACTAGAGCTGATGCATCGTAAGATGAGCTATTAAAACCATTATTGCTCGAGGCGACAAAACTGGATTTACTACCTAAGACTTCAACAGCTAATGTTTCAGTAACTGCATACTCAAACACATCGATCTTCGCCTCTCGACTACTGATGCCAACAACAACACCAAAACCCTTGTGATGTTCGTTGTGGGAGCTTTGAGTCTCGTACTGGCCCCTTCGGAGCAAGAACCAAGAGAGACAAAGGAGAGAGCTCAGACACAGTAGAAGGGTCACCCACAGGTTTCTCTGGCACGGAGATCGGTTGGGTACATTCAAGTAGTGCGGGTTTTGATATCTGATTGGGGAAGGTGCTTTAAAGGATGAACCTCTCTGCAAGGGCTTCGGCAGCTTCGGAAGCTCCATGAACGAGTCAGAATCCAAGGCACGAGAAATCCTTCGTGGGCTGTTAACCCCACTAGTCTGCAGCCTTCGCGAAAAGTATTGCCCTATCTCCCCTCCATTTCCCACCATTATTTTACATCCCTGCCTCGCTGCGCGGTCAGTTGAAGTCACCCTACAACCCTTTGAATCTCCTTCCCCGGTCTACTTGCTGTTAACAAGGAATTGGTGGTCGACAACACTCCCCCAATTGTTTGATCTAATCCCATTGGAAATTCCGATAATACTCCACTGGTTTCATCGAACAGTTGCTGTAACTAAACCTACCAAAACAAGCATCCAGATTGGAATCAACCGGTCTTCCTCGAACCCCTGGTTCAATTGAATAATCAAATAAAATTATATTTGTCTCAATCTACCCTGCAGCCACAGCCACGAAGCCCCATCACAACGAGAACGTGACCTAAAACGAAAATCCAACACATAAACTCATCTGCTAGGGTGATCGGATCTGGCAGAGTCATCACTCAGGGCACCGACAACTCCTACTTCGCATACCAAAAACAAAAAAAAAAAAAAAAAAAAAAAGCCTCAGTTTGCGTGGTTGATCCAATCCGTCGCGATCTTCAAAACACAAACAGAATGTAACTGTTCCAGAATGCTTCTATTGAAAGAGAGACAAATACATGTGAAGAAGGCGATTTAGAAGGGCTGTGAGCGGCTGCTGATTGAAAATACACCACTCAACCTAATGAAGCGATCTTGCAAGTTGCATTCATCCTCGATACGGAGGGCCTCTGCATCTGAGAAACAAGGTGCAAAACCATGGGAGACCTGTCAGTCTGAGCCTGTGTGGGGGCAACGCAAGCACATAACAAGTAGCCCAAAACTGGATTGATTCTCCGTGATTCCTACCCATGGTTTCGATCTGCTCCGGCGTCATATCGGACGGTTATAGTAATATCTACACTGCAGAGAATCACTCCCCACGTTCAAACCTCGGAAGGGAAAATGCCAAGGTTTATGTACCCAATGCAAGTGGTTGAGTGTTAGAGTTCACACCTCATGCATAAGAGCTTACTGGAAGAATCCCTCCGTGGGTCCATTCATTGTTAGTTTAATTTCCCGAGTGATTTCCAAGTGAATATAGACAAACCAGGACACTCCACGAGTCAAGCCACATTCCGAGACGAAACCAGCCTTGGGATTGAAACAGAACCCAACGCAGGGCCTGTCAATCGGAAATCATCCATGAAGCAGATTGGAAACGAGGGAACAAGGGAGAATCAGCACAATGTAGGAATCTTAGCTCGGCAACTGATGCAGTGTAAAAATGTATTGACTCGATCCGAAGCAGAGTTGGTAACCAAATCCGCACCCATAATTTTACCCCCTGTTATAAAACACCCTTTATTATTTTGTTCGCCCGGTATTTTAAGGCATACCCTTGGTTTTCATAACTCGTCATGTGAAGTATAACTCGTCCTCGGTAACACGCCTCATCTCACCCCGAGATTGCCCCTCCAAAAGCAGAATACGATAAGATGCGGCATTGGAACGAGGACATGGGCTGCATTGTTGAGGCGATCCGGAAATCATCCACCTCCCAACTTCCATCCGTGAACTCCACGAGCATTGATGAAGCGGGAATCCTAAAAATATCGGCGCACCCACAAAAACAGGTTGTTTTCAAACACAGATCTTGATTATTCAAATCCATTTATATATATATATATATATATTTATATATATGTCAGAGTATATTTTATTATATAATAGAATCACATATATATATATATATAAATATATGTAATGACATATATATAAATAAATAAATAAATAAATATATATATATATATATATATACCATATGATAAAATATTGTGTAGCTCATGTATTGCAATTAAGATTTTAATAAATGAAAAAAAAATTATTATACTTTTTTTTAATCCTATTTTATAGATAAATAAAGTGGTGAAAAACTCAACTACTTCCAATAAAGTGGGAAATTTATAAATTATTATTTTTTGCAACAAAACTTTAGACTGTGATTAGATCAATTGTTAAATGATCTATTACAAATATTGTTAAAGATAAAATTATGATTAAAAAGTTGAAAAATCATATTTAATTTATACCACGAATTATTTTGCTTTATAGAATAAATGGACATACTTTTGCATTGGAATATATAAAAAAATATTATTGTGTGTTACATATGCAATGACAATTAGTAAGATACAATAAAATACATTAAAATTACCTTGTATTGATGGAAAGAATCTTTCCACATAGATAATTGTATTTTACATTCAAGCGTGAAAAATCTTTAGAAAACATCAAAGTATTGTTAAAAAGAATTATAATGGGAGTTGTTAGAATGATGTATTATATTATATTCAACAAAACTTTATAATAGTCAATGTGGTTGAGATGTAAAATATTTTGTATATATAAATATAAACAATAGTATGCTTATATATATAAAGAAATGCTAAATTAATCCCACCAACTATTGTTTTAATCCACCCATTATTAAAATGATTGAAAACTATATCATTATTTAATGACAGTAGTATCCATGTGAGTATTAAATTCAAAATTAGATTGTTAAGGTATAATATGTCATGATAAATATAATTGGCTTCACAATTCGATTAATTATGATAAATATTTGTGTGAATACAATGCATTTGTAGAAACATAACTGGTAAAATAATTCAAATTTGATATCAATAATAAATAGTAATAATGGCTTTATAATGTTTAAGTCAATTAATTCATTGTTTTTTCTAAATTTATAATATTTTTGTTGACCTTCTTCTACTCTCATAATCTTAGTTTGTAACTTTATATTGTATTAATTCTTATTTAAAAAGAGAAGTAGTGGACATCTTGGTATTCTTTTATTTTAAAATAGAAAATGTGATGGATATGGATCATCTACCAAAAGAATCATTTGTCACGTACAAAGAAATGAAGAGATGCTTAGATCAATTTTTGCACATCCATAGTTATATAATTTTTTGATGTCGCTTTGACAAAGACTCCTTCATCTTTAAATGCGATAATAATAGCACTTACAATGGATCTAAAGAAAATTCTTTTCAACATAATTCAACCATGCCACTCACAAAGTATTCATTTGAACTATATACTTATTATTAGTATATTGAGAAATGCTCATATTTGTGGTTTTGAAATAGAAGTCAGAATTATGGACCTTTGGCATTGCTTGTAGGATATTCAATTACTTATTGCATCTATCTTATTGTGAAGCATGTGAATCTCAGAGAAAGAAATATTCAATTCATTCTTAAATCATTGAAAAGAACTAAAAAGTCACTCAAAAATGATATAGTATGAAACTAAAATAGCTATTGCCAAAAATAAGAAGACTAGAAAGTCTTGAAATAAGACCAAGGACTAAAAAGGCATTGACAAGAATGAAAAAAGCTTCACTCTTGCCTTCATATATACTCTTTACTAGTATCTATGTGGTGATATTCTATAAGACCTCCAAAACCTGTTGACTTTGCAAGACATGTATCTTAACTTGCAAGACAAGTTTTTCATATGTATACTACATAATTACCTTGTTCTACAAGCTATCAACATATAGTTAACTTCTTGACGAAGTTTCTAACCTATCAATCAATTACAAACACATGTAAAGCCAAAGTAACATCTATAAAGCTTCTAAGAAGCTTTTCTAGAAGGTATTATAAATTTAATCAACTTTTATCTACTTTTATTTACTTCTATCTAATCATATATGTATTTAATAGAATATATATAAATAAACATATATATATATATATATATATATATATATATATATATATATATATCCATAACATTATCCTCCCTTTTAAAGACAAGTTCTACGAGGAGCAATCATCATGTATTGATGAAATCCAAGATGCTGTAAATTATATTTACTACATACTTTGATCTTTATTCTCTTTGAAGATAGTAAATAGGTTTTCTTAGCCATTGGTAGTATCCTATACTAGAGCAAAAATACCACCTTGTTATTTGATTGTTCTTGAGGCCTTATCACGGCCATAATCATGTAAGCTAATAATTACATATAGAAATAGGTAGAAGTAAGTAAAAGTAGATAAAAGTAAGCTAATTCTATAATATTTAATATAGAAGCTTCCTAGAAACTTCCTAGATACTGCTTTGACTTCATAGGTGTCTTTAATTGACTTTTTGGATTAGAAACGTGGTCAACAAGTTGGCCATGTGTGACACATGTTGTTAGCTTGAAGATCAAGCTAACTATGTGGCCCACACATGTTGTTAGCTTGAAGATCAAGCTAACTATATGGCCCACACATAGAAAAACTTGCCTTGTAAGTCAAGGCATGTGTCCTACAAAGTCAACACATATTGGAGGTCCTATAGAACGTTGCCACGTAGCCCCTAGTTAGATAGTATATATAGAGACAAGAGTGAAGGCTTCTTCACTCTTGTCAACTCCTTTCTTGCTTCTAGTCTAGGTTCAAGAGTCTTTAATTTCTTGTCTTGTGGCAATAGCCATTCCAGTTTCCTTTTAATATACCTACTTGTTTATATTTTGACTTATTATATCGAGATAGCCTTTTGGTGTATATTTTCCCTCATCGAATCTTTGTCCTTGACAGATTGACAAGTGTGCACTTACAATATCAGAGCTTTGTTTTTTCTTGAGTAAGAGTGGATTACCTCTTTCTCTTGACAAGACATAAGCGTATTAGAAGTTTGCGGATTACCCACTTCTAAACTGATATTGTTCTTAGTATCTTCTTTGTTATCAAGTCTTTCTTTTCTTTTGTCTTGAGCAATATCAAACAAATTTTTCTTCTTAGTGTCATTATGGCAGAGCTTGTTGAAATGAAGAGTGCAATGGCACAAATGCAAGAGCAAATGAGGGAGTTAATGCTTGCGATGCATCAACTCAATTCACCAACACAGGAAAGAACAAGAATAGCAGAAAGTGGAGATATAGAGATGATCGGAGCTGCTTCAACATCTACAACAAATCACGTTCCTTCTCCAATTGTACAACACCCTATAAGCACTAGAGAACCAAGAATTGCCTAACCCGAGAAATTTGATGGTACGAGATCTAAATTTCGAGGGTTCATCAATCAAGTACAATTGGCAATTGAACTTCAACCGCAAAGCTATCCAACTCCAGGATCACAAGTCAGGTTTATTGGCACTCTACTTTCTGGTTCTGCATTATCGTGGTTTTCGTCTTTTCTTGAACAACGAAATCCAATATTGGACAATTTGGAAGTTTTTTTGGCGGAGTTTCGATCTATGTATGGTGAACACGATGCAACTCGTGTTGCAACAAATAAGATCCGAATTCTGTGACAAGGAAATCGCTCAGTAACAGTATATGCTTCACAATTTCGACAACTTGCAATTGACATCAAGTGGGATGATGCTGCACTCATCAGTCAATTTCTTTATGGATTGCAATACGAAGTAAAGAAATTGATGCTCAACTTACCTGATCCTCAAACTTTGAGTCAAGCAATCGATTTTGCGGTAAAATGTGATAATCGACTTTTCGAATTTCGATCCGAGAATCATTCACGGGAACCTCAACGTTATTACTCAATGGCAACATCAACATCTTTGCCAAACGTACATTCAAAAGTAGAAGACATGCAAATTGACGGGGTACGTTTTAAACCTCTAATTGAGCAAGAAAAGATTCGTCGTCGTCAAGAAGGATTATGTTTATATTGCGGAGAACCTAAGCACACTGCTCAACATTGTCCAAAGAAACGACGCAACTATAAAATGAGGGGTACGACGGTCAAAGAAGACAACATGTCGGAAAACGGATTAGTCCAGCTACAATAGGAACCGTGCAGCTGGAACCTTGTACAATTCTTAATGAAGGTCCTATCCTCTCCTCAGAACCCTCTCCTTGTTTTATAATAGACTTATATTTAGGACCTAAGAATTACAAAGCCTCTGCTTTATTAGATTCGGGAGCCTCAGCATGTTTTTTAGATGAAC